ATCACTACCCCAACCTCTATCACTACCCCAACTCCTATCACTACCCCAACCTCTATCACTACCCCAACTCCTATCACTACCCCAACCTCTATCACTACCCCAACTCCTATCACTACCCCAACCTCTATCACTACCCCTATCATAACCCCAATCACTACCCCAACTCCTATCACTACCCCAACCTCTATCATAACCCCAACCCCTATCACTACCCCAACTCCTATCACTACCCCAAATTCTATCACTACCCCAACTCCTATCACTACCCCAACCCCAATTACTACCCCAACCCTTATCACTACCCCAACCCCTATCACGACCCCAACCCCTATCACTACCCCAACCTCTATCACTACTCCAACCCCTATCACTACCCCAACCCCTATCACGACCCCAACCCCAACTCCTATCACTACCCCAACTCCTATCACTACCCCAACCCCTATCACGACCCCAACCCCTATCACTACCCCAATTCCTATCACTACCCCAACTCCTATCACTACCCCAACCCCTATCACTACCCCAACCTCTATCACTACCCCAACCCCTATCACTACCCCAACTCCTATCACTACCCCAACTTCTATCACTACCCCAACCTCTATCACTACCCCAACCCCTATCACTACCCCAACTCCTATCACTACCCCAACTTCTATCACTACCCCAACCCCTATCACGACCCAAACCCCTATCACTACCCCTACTCCTATCACTACCCCAACCCCAACCTCTATCACTACCCCAACTCCTATCACTACCCCAACTCCTATCACTACCCCAACCCCTATCACTACCCCAACCCCTATCACGACCCCAACCCCTATCACTACCCCAACCCCTATCACTACCCCAACTCCTATCACTACCCCTACTCCTATCACTACCCCAACCCCAACCTCTATCACTACCCCAACTCCTATCACTACCCCAACCTCTATCACTACCCCTATCATAACCCCAATCACTACCCCAACTCCTATCACTACCCCAACCTCTATCACTACCCCAACTCATATCACTACCCCAACCTCTATCACTACCCCAACTCCTATCACTACCCCAACCTCTATCACTACCCCAACTCCTATCACTACCCCAACCTCTATCACTACCCCAACTCCTATCACTACCCCAACCTCTATCACTACCCCTATCATAACCCCAATCACTACCCCAACTCCTATCACTACCCCAACCTCTATCATAACCCCAACCCCTATCACTACCCCAACTCCTATCACTACCCCAAATTCTATCACTACCCCAACTCCTATCACTACCCCAACCCCAATTACTACCCCAACCCTTATCACTACCCCAACCCCTATCACGACCCCAACCCCTATCACTACCCCAACCTCTATCACTACTCCAACCCCTATCACTACCCCAACACCTATCACGACCCCAACCCCAACTCCTATCACTACCCCAACTCCTATCACTACCCCAACCCCTATCACGACCCCAACCCCTATCACTACCCCAACTCCTATCACTACCCCAACTCCTATCACTACCCCAACCCCTATCACTACCCCAACCTCTATCACTACCCCAACCCCTATCACTACCCCAACTCCTATCACTACCCCAACTTCTATCACTACCCCAACCCCTATCACGACCCAAACCCCTATCACTACCCCTACTCCTATCACTACCCCAACCCCAACCTCTATCACTACCCCAACTCCTATCACTACCCCAACTCCTATCACTACCCCAACCCCTATCACTACCCCAACCCCTATCACGACCCCAACCCCTATCACTACCCCAACCCCTATCACTACCCCAACTCCTATCACTACCCCTACTCCTATCACTACCCCAACCCCAACCTCTATCACTACCCCAACTCCTATCACTACCCCAACTCTTATCACTACCCCAACTCCAATCACTACCCCAACCCCTATCACTACCCCAACCCCTATAACTACCCCAACCCCTATCACTACCCCTATCACGACCCCAACCCCTAACACTACCCCAACCCCTATCACTACCCCTACCCCTATCACTACCCCAACCCCTATCACTACCCCTACCCCTATCACTACCCCAACCCCTATCACTACCCCTATTACTACCCCAACCCCTATCACTACCCCAACCCCTATCACTACCCCAACCCCTATCACTACCCCAACCCCTATTACTACCCCAACCCCTATCACTACCCCAACCCCTATCACTACCCCAACCCCTATCACTACCCCAACCCCTATCACTACTCCAACCCCTATAACTACCCCAACCCCTACCACTACCCCAACCCCTGCCACTACTCCAACCCCTATCACTACGCCAACCCCTATCACTACCCCAACCGCTATCACTACCGCAACCCCTACCACTACCCCAACCCCAACAACTACCCCAACCCCTATCACTACCCCAACCCCTATCACTACCCCAACCTCTACCACTACCCCAACCCCTACCACTATCCGAACCCCTATCATTACCCCAACTCCTATCACTACCCCAACCCCTACCACTACCCCAACCCCTATCACTACTGCAACCCCTACTACTACCCCAACCCCTACCACTACCCCAACCCCAATTACTACCCCAACCCCTAGAACTACCACCACCCCTACCACTACCCCAACCCCTATCACTACCCCAACCCCTATCACTACCCCAACCCCTATCACTACCCCAACCCCTATCACTACCCCAAACCCTATCACTACCCCAACCCCTATCACTACCCCAACCCCAATTACTACCCCAACGCCTACCACTACCCCAACTCCTACCACTACCCCAACCCCTATCACTACCGCAACCCCTATCACTACCCCAACACCAATTACTACCCCAAACCCTACCACTACTCCAACTCCTCCTTAACCACTCCCACCCGTCCTCCTATCACCATAACCACACCTCCACTTTTAATAATAACCCCCCACTCTTTATTTTAACCACTATCACCGCATGTACAATGTTATCATTGCTGTAAATCGCCTTGGATTAAGGCGCTATATAAGTCTATGTAAGATAAGCGGAAAAATATATTTTAGGGCCCTATCCTCAAGCGCTCCCCTCCCCACCACCGCCGCCCGTTTCAATTTACAAACCCCTCGTGAGATAACTAGAAGGGATATAGACGAGAGATAGCGATGCAGCGAGATGGGAGAAATGCGGGCAAACGATAGAGGTGTAATGAGATGAGGGAAGAGAGAGATACACGGATGAGATAGAGATGCGGTGAAAGGAAACAGGTGCAGACAAGGGGACGCGATGTACCGAGTTCGACGGAAGAAACCTAAGGTTAGAGTTAGGGTCAAACAATACGGAGATGAATTGTGTTATTTTATTATTTTATTCTCATTCTACGTGACTTTACCGAAAGAACCAAAGAAGATGAATACGGAGATGAGGCAGATGAATGATATTTTAACGTCCATCGGCTTTTTTTATATATATGTTTATTAGGATCTAAGTTTTGGCTGGCATTTTCGGTCTATCTATACATTTTGCTTAGTGACTCCACAAGGCCTCCCCCCCCACCCTCCCACCCCACCGTCCCCCACTTACGCTGCTTAGAGCCCGGCACTTTTGGTTACTTCGCTCCTGGCCTTGCGCGCCACCACGCTGTCGACTTCCCGATGGGGAGGCTCTTTGGCGCGAGGCACAAACCTTGCCATAAATCCGCAAGGAGCTACGGCCCCCCCCCCACGTATCCTTGCCCACGGGGAGGTGACCTAGAGCGGCGTTCTTCACTAATTTTCACAGCGGGGAGGCCACTTTCGCCGACGATGAAACATCGTCAGTGTGAGGGCTGCCGCACATTTGAAACCATCGTTGGGGGTTTGACAGCAGCACGACAATGATGACGACGACGATGATGATGATGGTGGTAGGTGGTGTTGTCACTCTTTGTGTCTTGTGTCGGAGGCGTCGCACGCCAGCGGGCCGCACTAAAGGCCACCAGGAGGGCCGAGAGTGGCCCATGGGCCTTGCAATGAAGAACGCCGGTTTAGTGTGCAGCGTAGTGTATATAGTGTAGTGTCAAGCGTAGTGTATAGTGTAGTGTATAGTGTAGTGTGGAGCGTAGTGTATAGTGTATAATACAGTGCAGTGTTCTTCATTAATTTTCATGGGAGTGCCACTTTCACCGATAGGACATCAGCAGTGTGAGGACCGCCGCGCATTTGAAACCATTGTTGGGTTTGACAGCAGCAGCAGCACGATGATGATGGGGGGGGTTGGTGTTGTCACTATTTGTGTCTTGTGTTGGGGGGCCGCAGTGAGGGGCCGCACTAAAGGCCACCAGGAGGGCCGCCAGTGGTACAGCGGGGCCTTGCCATGAAGAACGCTGGGCTAGAGCATTCGCGGTGCCGCAAACCTCACTCCAAGCCTTGATAGATGTGGTCTCGGATTGGCAGTGAGTTCTTTCCAAGTTGGTGCACAATTAACAAGCAAAGAAACGTAGCACTTTCATTAACACTGCCCCCAAAATGACAGAATATACGAGAGTATTTGTATTGTTTGTTGTTGTAGCGATCTTACCCACCCCTGCTGGATATCTGTGAAAAAGAGTGTTATCGCTCATCGGATTCCTCCAGTATAAATAAATATTGTGATTATGATTCTGAATAAGTGACGTTTTAGGTAATGGCCCTTTTTCAAAGCACATCCAACTAAAACACCACAAGCCAATAAACATGTGCTTTGAGGAAGGGGCATTGCCAGAGGTGCCAATCTCAATATATGGTTGCAATTTCTGTTCTGACGGAAACTAACATGTGTACGCGTGCGTGCGTTAAGTTAAACACAGATGTAGCTTCAGGCTGGCAACGTGGCTTGGGATGTGGACACACATCCCGTGCAGATCTAATTAGAATGAAACATGGCTGAGCAACAGCGCATGAATACATATATATGTTTTAGTACTCAACATTCTCATTGGCTATACGAGCAATCAGGGAAGGTAAAAAGGTGAAAGTGTTCAACGTCAAATGAATGTTTACCTTCGTGTGGAGTTTCGAGAGTTGTCTTTCATCGATGTAGTTTCTGTACAGCCGTCTCTTGTAGCGGAACTGCAAGACACGGGGTTTGCATGTTACACGGAATGTCATGACGGTTGCATGTCATCACCCATGTATGACGTGGGTAGCAGCAGCAGCAGCGGAAGCGTGCATGGTTGTGAACACTTCAACAACAAGTCTGTGTTTGACAACCAGATTACCCGTGGACAGGGGTCAGAGTTGACAACCTTCACGTGGGTCCACCCGTTTAAGGGTTGTTGTTTTTTCTTCTTCTTCCAAACGCGAACTTTAAACGTCATCAACGCGAGGCCGGAATAGCAAACTTGTCAAACTAAAACCCAGGACCCACATTGTAAACCCGCTGCTAGTGTTGAAGATTCAATGGAGTCAGAAGCAGCAGCAGCAGCAACGACGGTTCAATTAGCCTCACCTGCAGCTGCCACGCGGCTTTCAAACTCGGACATGGATCTTTGCGATTGCTATTCAGCCAGCCGTAACGCAAGAGGAGGTCGGAGCGGATGAAGAACCTCTGGACCGCGGACACAAGGCTGTCGTATTTTTAAAGTATAGCCCTGCGCGAGTGGGCAAGGCGAGTGACGGGTGGAATGGCGAGCCTGGCACGAAGGGTCAGCATTGTTGCGGGCAGCATGATCATCAATTGTGATTGCCAATTCGTTGTGCTTAGCTAAAGCTGAATTGTAGGTATTTGAGAGCGTTGCTTTTGACACTAAACCAGTAATGTAATGATGTTATAGTTGGCGTGAACAAGGACTTCTACTGATTTGATTAGTTTATGCGCCTTATGTTTAAGGTACTTCGGGTCCAATAAATGTCATATACACAACAGCCCTGCACGATGATCAAAGGTCGTGCGTCGTGACGTCTAGGCACTGAGATGGTGCTGCTGTTGTAACGGATGGAACAGTGGACATGCTGATCCAAAACTATAAACAGTTTTATCTATTTATTTTCTACCAGGTAAGGGCCCACTGAGCTATACAGCTCTTTTTCAGAAGCCACCTGACCACAAATGACAACTCTCACGAAGTGGCTTATCACGTGACCTTTTTTTTCAGCAGCCAAATACCGAAAACGCCTGATGTTGATTCTAAATGTGGAGGGGAAAAACCGGAGGACCCCGTAGAAAAATCCACGCGACCACGGGGAGAAAGAAAGACACCGCAAACTCCAAACACACAGAGGGCGTCAGGGTCGGGATCGAACACCACGACCTCCTGCATAGCAGGCGATGGAGTTAACATCTCCTAGCCATCGTGATGATGATGAGAGAGAGAGAGACACCGCAAACTCCAAATATACAGCAGACGTCAGGGTCGGGATCGAACCCCACGACCTCCTGCATAGCAGGCGATGGAGTTAACATCTCCTAGCCATCGTGATGATGATGAGAGAGAGAGAGACACCGCAAACTCCAAACATACAGCAGGCATCAGGGTACTGATCGAACCCCACGACTTCCTACATAGCAGGCGATGGAGTTAACATCTCCTAGCCATCGTGATGATGATGGGAGAGAGAGAGAGAGACACACCGCAAACTCCAAACATACAGCAGGCATCAGGGTCCGGATCGAACCCCACGACCTCCTGCATAGCAGGCGATGGAGTTAACATCTCCTAGCCACCGCTGCGCCGTGCAAACAAAAGAGGTCGCCGTCTCATCGCGCCAATGCGGCGGTTGAAACGGTGGCGTGTGTTCCTTCAATCCCCTCCGTCGCTCTCTGTCTACCCAGCGGCGTACACGGCTTCAACTGGCGGTCGTTGGGCAGGTGGCCGTGCGGTGGGTCAAAGTGTGGGCACTCCTGCGGGCCGGTTTTTTTTTTCTTTCGAATTTTGGAAAAATGTGGATCACGACGCCAGCACACGGCGGCCCACTCGTCTTTCGTGACGACGTCAGGGGATATTTAACGGCCGCTGTGAAGCGGACGGGCGCGTGGTGTTTGGTTTAAAGATATATTTTGTTCACGGTTAGCACACAGAGAGGCCGCAGGAATGGCCAGGGGCGGGCCCTGCCGGATTAAAATCGCGAACCTCCGCAACAAGCGGTGAGAACCGCGATGGGCCACTGCTAAAAATCAGAGTGGAAGCCTCGCGGACGAGGGCACCCCGCAGACAAGCTAGTGGCACCCCCCCGTGGGTTATATGAAGAGATGGACGAGTTTTCCACTGCGCGAATGGCATCCGCAAACACCGGGGAAGGAGTCAACTATTACTCAGCGTCCTACGAGCCAGGGAGGAGCAACAGCGTGACACGAGCTCCAATAACGTTTCCAAACGCTGGCTCAGACATTTCCCAGATATATATAAAAAAAAAGTGGTCTGCGCAGTCCACTTAGGAACCACGCCGGCCGTAAAGTAAAGGCGAGCAGACCCTGGGCGCAATTATAAGTGTCGGAGGAAATGGTTTGGGTAGTTTGAATATTTTCAGACATTTTTTTTTTACACAAAACGACTGCGGATATATTGTCATCTAATTTCCACTTTGACGTCCACACGTGGTGCAGCAGAAGCTTCTTCGCCGACAGAGCAGCTTTGCCGAGCGGTGGGCTCGACGCCTGTCTGCGGCAATACTTTTGCACAACGTGTCATCATTATCACTTGGGCATGCAAAGAGGCCCCGCGTGTATTGCAGAATAAAAATGATGCCGCCTTTGATCCTTACGTTGCAGAGTTTACGGCAATTAACCATGCAATTCGTTGCGCGTGGGGAGCGGTAGTGTCGCGGTCAGCGCTACGCTGCGCCACGAACACGGCCACCCGGGTTCGATTCCCGCTCACGGGCCAAGAACCAGTGACGATTATCTGAACCGGTCCTGGGCCTCACCTAGGTCGACTCAGCCTCAAAATGCGGTGTGTAAACTTCGCCACGAGGGAGACAAAGACGGCCGGGCGTGGTGTTGGTCACCCACCCTCTCGTGTCCTGTGCCAGCCTTTCATAGGTGCCCGCTAACAGCACTTGCCCCAACAGTTTGTTACAGGCTATACGGGGGACCTTTGGTTTTGTTTTGTCTTTCAATTTTGTTATTTAAGAAATCCAGTAATTGACTTGTGGGGAAAAAAAAAACACTCTCCTGAATCTCAATTGCACTATTTTCAGGAGGGTCCTGCATTGGTACACTTTGGTCAATACATTTTTGTGTATTGCATCCAGAGAAAATACAATACGCATACAAGGAGATTAAACCGAAAAGTGTCAACGTGCAGCTCACATATTATTTAGATTACTTTGCTGCTGTAAACTTCCACATGATGAGCCACTTCGTTGAGCCAGCTTTTGTGGCCAGGACGCTTTTGCAAAAGAAGCTGATAGTTCAGTGGGCTTTACCTGGTAAGATGAAAAATTGTTTCGTTTTATTTGTATATATATTTGTAAGTGATTTGTTTACCTTTCCTATACTTTGCACTCCCATCGTGTTTTTTTTGTACTGTTTGTTGTTTTAACGTTCTGACCTGCCCCTACTGGACAGCTGTGAAAAAGAGCTTTATAGCTCATCGGATTCTGCCAGTATAAATAAATATTCTGGTTCCGATTCTGACCCCGGGCCATCTCACTGCTGTCTGAGGGTTTGAGTGTTTCACAGATATGCGTAGAGGTGAGATTAAGTGGGAAGAGAATTAGTGCTCGGGATCAATGCCAACTCGACACTCTTGCACAATCTCTGCCAGCGTAATAATGTCAGGGTCTCGTAGCCGGTGCGTGCTCAAAGTGGGGTCTGTGCTGAGAGTGTGGACCCTTTTCACCAACCGAGGAGCGCTTCCGTCTTGGCAACACCTTCAGCTGGAGGAAATTAGAACCAAATCGAAGGGGAGATCGCATTGAAGCCTGGATCTGAGAGTGTGATGGAGAGGTGGGCTCCAGCAGCGTAGAAGTGATGGTCGGCATTAAAAATGGTAAATGATTCGATGGGTCGCTACGCTGCTGCTGTTGCTGCGTTGGCAGTGGTGCCCGAGCACAGTTAACAGAATCAAAGAAACTCAAACGCATTCGTCAGGAGAGCCGTGGGCTTTGAGAGAACATGTGTAAAGTAGGCGACGCTTCGGGCAACGGTCCATCTTCATATAGCACAAACATTGGATTTACAGGGTGGTGCAAAAAAAAAATGTTAACACTTATATGGGACGATCGTTTTTAATGGAAAAATAACGGAAAATAATACGCTGTAACGTGATAACAAATGCAATGTTAATGGCCTGGAATCTTCTCCAGGTGGTCTCCAGAGCCCCGGAGGCGGCAGCACGTTCCTCGTGGTGTTGTTGCAAATTTTTAACACCCTGTATGTGTTTGGTTGTTGTTAAAACTGGCAACGGGTTGGTTAAGCGGAAGATATTTGTTTTAAAGAATTGGATGTGACCGTGGTGGTCACACCACAATGCCCCCTTTTGTGACCTTTTGAAATGTAAAACGATCGCACCGTCCTTAATTGTCAAAGTACGATTTATTCATAAAATAATAATATATATTTTATTATTTTGTTGTTTCTCTTCAACGTGACTTTACCGAAAAAACTAAGAATATGAATTACTGCAGTCACGAAAGCTTTAAATCAAAATTTAAAGTACGATTTGTTATGGCATTGTTTCTTGTTGTTAACGTACGCATAAAAGGGATATATATATATTTTTTTACCGAATCGAAAGGTGTTTAGGGGGTCGCTATCATGGTCCCAAGTAAGGATCATGATCTAGAATAAAATAATAATTAAGTAAAATTAAAAGAAGTAAGGACCATATTCTTGGTTCTTTCGGTAAAGTCACGTAGAAGGGAAACAATACAATAATAAAAATATAAAACAGTAAAATTCTCACGACGTTTCGACTGCAACACAAGCAATCATCATGAGGTGTGAAAACCACAGCAAGAAAAATTGAAAAAAGTGGCGGTTTCAAATAAAATCACATTTTCTTGTTGTGGTTTTCACACCTGATGATGATTGCTTGTGTTGCAGTCGAAACGTCGTGAGAATGTTATTGTTTTATATTTTTATTATTTTATTGTATCCCTTCTACGTGCCTTTACCGAAAGAACCAAGAATATTAATCCTTGCAGTCACAAAAGCTTTAAATCAAAAATAGGGACCAATTAAGGACCGTGATCTAAAATTAAATAAAGACCACCCAAATACACACCACCATCGACATAAGAGCTGCTGTACTGTATAGTGTATAGATCCACAAAAGTTATTGCGGCTATAAGCTCTCGACAACATGGAAATTATTAATTTGTATTGACATTAGACGTAGGGCTCTACACATTTCCTTGTATGACGACCAGCGTTTAGCATTGTAGTCAACTGACGGCTTACATCGTTAATTGGCAAGCGGCACTCTGCAATTATAAAATTATTTTAACCATACACCTTTTTTACCAAGTAAGGCCCACTGAGCTATATAGGTCGTTTTCAGGAGCGACATGGCCTTATCATCACCACTTGGAAATTTACAGCAGCCAAATGCTCTAAACGCGTGACGTCGATTCTAACTGAGGGCCCGGAGAAAAATCCACGCGACCACCAAGGGAATAGAACCCACGACCTCCTGTATGCGAGGCGAGGTCGTTAACATTTCGCCACCGCGGCGAATCCCATTGTTAAAGACTCCCCCACCGCGCCCCCCCCGCCGCCAAAATCAGAAATGGATCGAACACTTCCCGCGGAGCTCCACCACTCACGCGGCGAAGGGATAAGGAAAGTGATCGAAGTCGGGGTGTGGCGTTCAAGATCGAAGATGAAATTGGCTCCTTGGCACGACGTCACCGCGTAAATCCACGGGCCGCGTGACAGAGCAATCAACGAGAGTAGAGAGACACTTAATTGTGAAATCGAGTGTGTGTGTGTGTGTGTGCGCGCGCGCGCGAGCAAGTGGGCGAGCGTGGTTAGCACGAGAGCACACGCGCCGCCTCCCCGAATTGTGTGTAAACACACATTTATTTTGCATGGGGAAAACAGGAAGAAGATGCCCCGGTGTCACGTAAATGTGCGCTCAAGTAAATCGTTCGGCGATGCTGCGTTTTGGCAGCGGCGTCCTCGTTTTAGACGAGCGTGGCCTGAAGAGAGGGAGATAATACTGGTAGGAACGAAGTTGTAAACTGAGTGTACCAGCCTGCAATAGATTAATGTGTCCGTCCGTCCGTCCCCTTTCAATACTTTAACGAAGTGAAATCTCGTGCTGTTGGGGTGTAAAAATAAAATTGCGCAAAATTCCAATGTTCCTACCAGCCCACCCTGCAGGGACCTGTTATAATGTGTGACGTTTTGGGAAATGTCCCCTTTTCTTAATTGCACACGGAGAAAGGGGGGACATGCAGAAGAACCATTGCCTGAAACGTCGCCTATTATATATATAAAAAAAATGTTCCCTATTTAAGGCCACTGTTATTGATAAACGCGTTGCTTGCGTTTTGTTTGTTCGTTAAATAAGTAAATAACTATAAACCACGGCCAGAGACTCAGGAGGCGTGCTTGCTGGCCACTCTGCACCAACCCAAGGCGTGGCCGCAACGCCTCAGCTGCGGGCTATGCGTGCGCGTCAACCGCAGCTCGGTGCAGCCGACAGCGCGGCCTGAACGGGGTCCAACGTCGTCAGCCTCTGAAAAGTGTCGCGGCAGTCATAGCCACGCGACAAATTTGCGTGCGTGCGTGCGTTTATTATTTTTTTTTGCCGCTGTTGAGCACGCGGTTACTTTTTCTGCAAAGTTGGTGGAGGTTTTCCCTTTATTTGTATTATTATTATTGTTGTTATGGCAACAAAATTGCGAGCCCGACGGTGCGCGGCCGACAAGTTCCGGTAACAGGGTAGTCAAAAAAATAACGCGGTCCATCCATTCCTGCTCGCCCCTAGCCAAGCAGGGATCTCACGCAACGCGGCAAATATGAAGATTTAGATGTGGAGGGGGAAATGGGAGGAGGGAGGAGAGGAATAACAACAAAGGGCAAACTCTTTGGTTCTTTCGGTAAAGTCACGTAGGTTATAAACTAAAATAAATCACGACGTTTCGATCGCAACACAAGCGGTCGTCCTCAGGCGGAAAAAAATTATAATCCATCAGTGGAACTGCTGAACTAGCGAGAGAGCGACACGTCGTGATATATATTTTTTAAATTTTGTTTTATTTTTCTACCTACGTGACTTTACCGAAAGAACCGTAGAAGATGAATTCCTGCAGTCACGAAAGTTTTTAAAGTCAAAATTTATTCTTCAAGTCTTGCATATGAGTGCGTTACGTTGTAATACGCAGCACACAATCATCACATGTTAAGTGTTCATAATAATGCTTTTTGGGTTAGATCGCGTAGGTATGAATATGTCCTCTCAGGAGGAAAGAGTCACAGGGAAAAAAAAACGCCGATAAAAAATAGGCGAATGTTTCCTCCAGTCCGTTGACAATTCTACATGGTGTGTACCGTTTTTTTTTTACTAAACCTCCGACTACGGTGTCCGACGATGATTCTCTCCAGCAGATTGCCCGCTGGGTAAAATAAATTACATCTTTAGCGAGTTTCTTGCTCTTAAACGTTCTACGTTTTCGGATGTTAAAATCGCACAGAGCAATGGAGCATGGGGGCGCGCTTATTCAATGCGCTCATTTTCACTTTCCCTGGACGTTTTGGGTGCTAATGCTTTGAACAAAACTGCCGTTGAAGGACAAGACATTCTTTGAAACAGCGGCACAGAAAGTACCGCAGAGTGCGTTGAAAGGAACACGCGACATTTCTCGGTTTTCGTTGAGGCGATATGCATGGTGACGTGGCCCAGCGTCAGGGCGTTCGCCGTCTTGTTGCCGAGATTCGTGGCTTGAATCCGGCAGGCTCATCTGGTTATCACTGCCAGGTGCATTAACTAAACTACCGTTAAGCTTTTTTTGTTGTTGTTCTTTTACCAGAGCAAGGGCCCACTGAACTGTGTAGCCCTTTTGCGGAAGCCACCTATAGGTGTCACAAATGATAGCTGAACGAAGTGGATTACCGTCGTGTGGAAATATTTAGCAGCCGAATACTCCACAGCGCACGCTTTTAAATGTGGAGGGGAACACCGGAGGAGTCGGAGAAAAATCCACGTGACCACGGGGAGAAAGAGACACGCGAACTCCAAATATACAGCAGGCATCGTCAGGGTCGGGATCGAACCCAGGCTAGGTCGTTAACTGACTGGTGTAGTATAACCGCCACTTTTTTCAAATTTTCTTGCTGTGGTTTTCACACCTGATGATGATTGCTTGTGTTGCAGTCGAAACATCGTGATAATTTTATCATTATTTTATTATATTTTTTATTATTTTATCGTTTCCCTTCTACGTGGTGACTTTACCGAAAGAACCAAGCATATGAATCCCTGCAGTCACGAAAGATTTAAATCAAAATTTGACTGGTGTAGGTTGAAGATCCCCCAGTGACATTCGGAGCGAGCAGCCCGACGTTGTGTGCCGGCATAAAATTTGCCCACTATCCCCCAAAAATACCCACAAAAATTAACCCAATTGTGATTGCACACACAGCATCTTCGCCCTCTGACTGCGAAACTTCCGTCTGTGTCACAGTGCCTTCGTTGGCGATGGCCTTGCGCTGTACGAATGCCAGCGGGGAATACCAAAAATGTGGAAAATTATCCACGCTAATGATTATTATCATGCATCGAAGACACCGGTGGAACCATCAAGCGCACCAGAACATCAACAGGCCAACGTGCACACCTCCTTCACGAACGGAAAATTGACAGCGCGAGCCACAGTGGTGCGATTTGGGCCATGCAACCCAACCTATGGACCCACACAGTGGAACCCACACTGCGAGTCTGCGCTCCTCCAATGGAGGGGGAATAGCTAAACCACACGCACTATCTCCTGAAGCCCTCCCGCCGTGGCTATCGCTCCTCGACATTGGCACTTATCTCCTGGACACATTTGCTGCCAGCGCGCGCAAGAATCGAATTATCATCATTGGACCTTTAAACGCTCAACCGTTGACGGCGACCCTCGTGACGTGTCGGTCCTTAAATCTTGACTTAAGGCTTTCGTGACTACGGGAATTCATATTCTTTGGGTCTTTCGGTAAAGTCACGTAGATAGGTTCAAATAACATATATTTTTTAAATGATGACGACCGCTCGTGTTACGATCGAAACGTCGTAGTTTTTTTAGTTTTTTTTCTTCGAACCTATCTACGTGACTTGACCGAAAGACCCAAACGATGTGTCGTTCCTCGTTGCTTCTACGCCCCCTGTACCGTTCCCGTTCCGCTGTAAAGTTGCATCGATGCCTACTTTATTGCATCGATTGATTGAGAGTTGGCGGAGCGGGGGAGAGGGGAAGATACGGGGGGGGGGGGGGGGGGGGAGTGGAGCGGTGGCGGGGGGGGGGGGGTTGGGGAGGGGGAATAGTTCCGTACCTCGAGGTACGGGATTCCCGTGTGCACCGGCTGCGGGTATTCGCGCAGCAGCCGCTCCTCGTCCAGAAACTTTCCCTCCCGCCCGTTGTAGGCCGGCTGGAAGAGGCCGTAGTTCAGGACATCCTTCAGGCTCTGGGTGAGCGTGCACAGAATGCGCTGCTTGGCCACCCAGATGGTCGCGTTCGGGTTGAATCTGAGGCACTTCTACGGGACAGAGAAAGGTAAACACACACACACAAGCAAGCGTTATTTGGGGTGCCGCTTTGGCGAGAGGTTATCTCCCTCGCCTGGTATGCAGGAGGTTCGTGGGTTCATTCCAGACCGTGGACGCCTGCTGTGTATTTGGAGTTTACGTGTCTCTCTCTCATCATCATCATCATCAGTGGCTAGGAGATGTTATCTCCCTCGCCTGGTATGCAGTAGGTCGTGGGTTCATTCCAGACCACGGGGTTTCCTCCGGCTCCTCCGCTTTTAGAAACAACGCGTTTAGAAACAACGCGTTTAGAGGATGAGAATAGGTTTTTCCCATTTTTTTCTGGCAACAAACCAGGTGTTAGGATGCTAAAACACCAAACTGGAACCTTTTACAGGGAGTATGTTTGTTTGCATTGTGACCACAAGTATTGTGGTTAATGCAGACATGATTCCTTGTAAAAGGTTTCAGTTCTGTGTTTTAACATCTTGACACGGCTGTTTTGTTGCCAGAAAAAAGGGGGAAACCCTATTCTCATATTTTGTTGCTGGCAAAGTCGGTCCCATGATGTGTTTGGAGTAATTGGCCACGATACATTCCAAGCGATAAGCCACGTTCGTTGAATTAACATTTGCTATAGCCAGGTCGCTTACAAATAAAGAGCTAAATAGCTCAGTGGCCCTTACCCGGTAAAATAAAAAATAGTTAATAGTTAATCATATTTAATAGTAGCACAGCCCCCACCCCTCCGCTCCCCCCCGACGTGCACAGTGTGGCTGGAACCATGTTACGATTCAAAAGGCAAGCGTGGTTTAGCGTCTGAGTTACTTTTATCTGTTACGCGCGGATGATGACGATGATGGTGGTGGTCCCGTTTAGCCAGTTTGCCCGGCTATGTTCACACGGGAGATCCGTGGAAATGCTTGAGCATAGAAGCAGCAGCAACAACAACAAACACAAAAGACGAAATCGTCAATATCGCAGAGAATGAGTACACGGTCCTTCGGGATTATTGCGCGACCCACAAACGAGGTATTTCAGGGTGGAGGTGAGCGGATGAATAAACGTAGGCACGGGCGAATATGTGCTTCGTCACCACACTGGCCCCCTCGTCGGATGGATTGATTTGCCATCGACGCGTTTGCGACAGCGGTGGACGCGCTGTTGGTACACTGGGTGCTGTGCTCCTGTGCGACGCACGGGGGGGCGGGGGGGTGGGAAGTTAAACGCCGCTCCCGTACACCGCCCCTGTTCACCCGGCAGTCATGAGCGGGTGTGTGGCCACTTCTCAATCCCCCTTCCACGACGTCCGGCCGGTTTGTCTGGATGCCCTCCAAGGCGGCGGTTCTCAAACGTTAGGCGTCGCCTGCCGGAACGCTCAGCCGATGCAAACATTTCTGCGGACCGCCCAGCCACCCTCCACGACCTGGTGACCAAATGCATTTCGCTCCTCTCCGTAAATAATACCGGTCATGCAATATGATTCCATATCACCGGAACATGAAAAAAAATTAACGCAGCAGCTAAAGTAAAAAAGAAAATTGGGGTGGCATTTAAATATTAGGGTAGTTTCATCCTGGTAGTTTATGTGGCCTCTGCTGCAACTGAGACCAACTCACGCACAGACGAATTATTATTATTGGCTTGAAATGTATAGAGATCTGTGCACATTTTTTTAATCGATCAGAAAAAAATATGCAAAAATCTCTATATCAAATGTAGAATGATCCGAAATTGTGTTGTCATAATGCTTTTTTTAGATTGATCTGGAACCTGGTCGTGATGTCGTCAATTAATACATCACTTTTTTTCCTTATTTTCTTTTTCCCCCCAGACAAAAAATCGGGGTCACATGCCAGCGGGTTCTGCTGCTATTGTTATCACGATGACACTTTACAAGAGGATATAATGAAAACGATCCCAAAAAAAATCCCTCTAAAGAAAATTATACATTCATTCGAAATTGGAATTTGAAAATCCTAAATCAGAAATGGTTTAATCCAATTCGCATCCCTTGCAACTAGGCGTGGAATTCACAAAACGCAATGGTGCACCAGCAACCAGCAGGCTATGCACAGCTCTTGAAAATCACGTGGTTACCGGCAGTTTTTTTTACCCTGGCCAAAGGTCATGTCATACATAGGTCAGAATCAATCTCGGCTCCCCTGTATTCTTTCGGTCATAATGAGGCCTCGCTGGAGTCTATAGCGTGAAATTTACTCGAGTAAAAGATGTGACGAACGGTCATGAGGACAGATTGAAAACTGAAGCTTTTTTGTATATACTGTATGTGCGGTATATACAGACAGAGGGTAAAACCCTGGATATGCTGCCACCAGCTATCAGGAATTTCCACTTAACCAAACCTGGGTAGGTTAATAAAAAAGTAAAGTAGATTCAATGCAAGAAATCATGAACATGATAGAACAATCTACGTTAAGTATCCTGCAGAAAAATGATGTGCAGTGTATAACCCGTAATAAAATGCGCACGAACACATTGTAAACATTGTACAATGCATTTCTCCATGTGCCGTGTCCTTTCTCAAAGATGTTGGCGATTGTGGTCTTCCATCCGTGCCACTCTGCCCATGGTATTTGCTCGAGAACTTTTGCAACAGACACTACTCCCAGATTAACACAATTGCTCATTGATTTGGTTCTTAATTCGCTGTCTTCCCCAGCTTCTGTTATCAATAATTTTCCCAGTCAGCACCACATTCATATTCAGTCTTTTGTTGGTATAACGTATAAACTATTTAAAATGCGTGTTACGTAAAGTGTGTAAGATACACTTAATATGCGAGTGCATCTGATACAGTTGAACCCTAAATCTATTTAAAAACTATCAACTTTTTTTTTAGCAGGTAAGGCCCACTAAGCTATACAGCTCTTTTTCAGCAGCGACCTGGTCACAAATGATAGCTCAACCGAGTCGTTTATCATTTGGAGATGTAAATCAGCCAAATACTCAAAATGCATGTTTCTAAATATGGAGGGAAAAATCCGGAGGGACCCGGAGAAAAATCCACGCGACCACGGGGGGAGCATGCAAAACTTTAAATATACAGGCATCATCAGGGTCGGGATCGACCCCATGACCTCATGTAAACCACGCAAGGCGGTAAACATCTCGCCAGCGTGGCGCCCCAGAATTCAAATCGTAAATACACCCGCAGCAATATTGCGTGGCGAAAGCTTGAGAGAAGATATTGCTCAACACTCAATCCAGAACAAAAAAACACACGAGGATTTTCCAAGCGGCTGAGAAAACCTACTTATTGTGTCGGTGTGCTGTACGATGAATCGCTTAAACACTGCGCTGCTGTACACGTTCATCTCACACTGTATAGCGAGCACCTATGAAGGCAGGCACGACACGCAAGGGAGTGGGTGGCCATCACCACGCCCGACCGCCCGCCTTTGTCTCCCCAGTGGCGATGTTTACACACTACACCAGGTGCTCATTTGAGGCTGAGTCGACCTAGGGGAGGCCCAGGACCGGTTCAGATAATCGTCACTGGTGTTGGCCGTGAGCGGGAATCGAACTCGGGTGGCCGGGTTTGTAGCGCTAACCGCCACACACACGCAGGGTTGATGTTTTGTTTCCAGTATTGATTTTCAATCGTCCCAAGCCTTTGGCGCCGCACAGAGAATATTGGCACCACACACGTTTCGTACACCCAGATCTCAGAATCAGAGTCAGAATATGTATTTATACTGGAGGAATCCGATGAGCCATGAAGCTCTTTTTTCACAGATGTCCAGTAGGAGCAAGGGGTAAGAACGTCACAACAACAAACAGTACAAAAACACAATAGCAGTGCAAAGTACAGGAAAGGCAAACAAATCACCCAAAAACTATAAAAAAAAACTAAACCACTCCCATCCTACCAGACAAAGCCCACTGAGCGTATTAACTTTTTTTTCAGAAGCTAGCCTGGCCACGAATGATAGCTCAACAAAGTAGCTGATCACGTGGAAATTAATAGCAACAAAATAATCTCAATGCAATGTTTCTAAATGTGGAGGGAAAAACCGGAGGACCCGGGAAAAAAATCCATACGTCCACGGGGAGAGAGAGAGACACGCAAACTCCAAATATATTAACATGTAGGCTTTCGCAAACGATATTATCCATAATAGAGTTTTTTGGGGTTAGATCCCGTAAATATAAATGTGTAGTTTAAACTCACCACCACCCAACACAGCCAATTAGTGAGTATTGTGACGTAAACAAAAAAATACAGTAAAACCTTGGATTGCGAGCATAATTCGTTCCGGAAACGTGTTTGTAATCCAAAGCACTCGTATATCAAAGCACTCGTATATCAGTTGTGATCACGTGACGCTCGGCAGACAAAGCGCGTATACGTTACTACTCGTATTGCAAGACCTCGCTCGTTTATCAAATTAATATTTATTTCAAAAAAATTGCTCGTCTTGCAAAACACTCGCAGACCAAGTTACTCGCAATCCCAGGTTTTACTGTATGCCATTTCGTTACCAATACAGCACACCGTTGTGTTGAAGAGTAAGCCCACAAGTACTCGAATTGCAAATGTTGTGGGCTTACTCTCCAACACACCGGTGTGCTGTACCGGTAACAAATTGGCATATTTTGTTGACGTGATAAACCTTACTAATTGGTTGTTTCGGGCGGGTGCCGGGTTTAACGACGCGTGTGTATATATATTGACACGACCTAACCCCAAAAAAAACCTCTATTGCGGCTCTCAATATCTCTGTCAGCGATGCCGGGCCATCTCCGCAACAGCGATCCGGCGGAGGGCATCGGACCACCGGCCCGACCATCCAGACTCTAGAGGATTGTGACCATGTCCTCGACGCTGTCCAAAATGTCGGTCCCCACAGTGGGGTGCATGGTCTCGAGGAGGAAGGGGGGAGGGGGGTCACCAACTCTCAGCTTCTGCTGTCAACCCTTTTTTTTTTTTTTTCCCAGTGCCACGGATGCAATTGGCATCCCGCGTTGCGGTCGTCGCCAGCCAGAA